AGAGAGGTGAGGAAGCTGCAGAAGAAAATGTGGACACCAGTGGAGGTTGGCTCATAAGGTTTGTGGAAAGAAGTTGTCTCCATAACATAAAAGTACAGTGAAGCAGCAAGTGCTGATGGAGAAGCTGCAGCAAGTCATCTAGAAGATCTAGCTACAATCATTGATGAAAGTGGTTACACTAAACAACAGATTTTCCATGTAAATGAAACAGTCTTATATTCAAAGATGCCATCTAGGACTTTCAGAACTAGAGAGATGAAGTCAATGCCTGGCTTCAAAGCTTCAAAGAACAGGCTGACTCTCTTGTCAGGGACTACCACAGCTGGTGACTTTTAAGTTGAAGCCAATGCTCATTTATCATGCCAAAAATTCTAGGGCTCTTAAGAATTATGCTAAATCTACTCTGCCTATACTCTATAAATGGAACAACAAAGCCTGGATGACAGCACATTTGTTCACAGCATGGTTTGCTGAATATTTTAAGCCCACTGTTGAGATCTACTGTATAGAAAAAACAAGATCCCTTTCAAAATATTATTGCTCATCGACAATGCATCTGCTCACCCAAAACCTCTGATGAAGATGTACAAACAGATTATGTGATTTTCATCCCTGCTAATACGTCCATTCTGCAGCCCATGGATTAAGGAGTAATCTCATCTTTCAAGTCTTATTATTTAAGAAATACATTTTATAAGGCTATAGCTGCCATAGATAGTGATTCCTCTGATGGATCTGGGAAAAGTAAAATAAAAACCTTCTGGAGGCTGGGTGCAGTGGCTCACGCCTATAATCCCAACACTTTGGGAGGCCGAGGTGGGTGGATCACCTGAGGTCAGGAATTTAAGACCAGTCTGGCCAACATGGTGAAACTCCATCTCTCCTAAAAATGCAAAAATTAGCCAGGCATGGTGGTGGGCACCTGTAATCCCAGCTACTCAGGAGGCTGAGGCAGGAGAATTGCTAGAACCCAGGAGGTGGATGTTGCAGTGAGCCAAGATTGCTCCATTTTACTCCAGCCTGGGTGACAGAGTGAGACTCCATCTAAAAAAAGAAAAAGAAAAAATCTTCTGGAAACGATTCACCATTTTGGATGCCATTAAGAACATTCGTGATTCATGGAAGGAGGTCAAAATATCAACATTAACAGGAGTTTGGAAGAAGTTGATTCCAACCCTCATGGATGACTTTGAGGGCTTCAAGATTTCAATGGAGGAAGTAACTGCAGACATGGTGGAAACAGCAAGAGAACTAGAATTAAAAGTGGAGCCTGAAGATATAATTGAATTGCTGCAATCTCATGATAAAACTTAAATAGACAAGGAGTTGCTTCTTATGGATGAGCAAGGAAAGTAGTTTCTTGAGAGGGAATCTACTCCAGGTAAAGGTGCCTTGAACATTGTTGAATTGACAACAAACATTTTAGAATATTACATAAACTTAGTTGATAAAGCAGTGGCAGGGTTTGAAAGGATTGACTCTAATTTTGAAAGAAGTTCTTCTAGGCTATCAAACGGTATCACATGCTACAGAGAACTCTTTTGTGAAAGGAAGAGTCTATCTATGTAGAAAACTGCATTGTTGTCGTATTTTAAGAAATTGTCACAGTCAGCCCAACTTTCAGCAACCATCACCCTGATCAGTCAGCAGCCATCAACATCGAAGCAAGACTTTCCACCAGCAAAGACTATGGCTCACTGAAGGCTCAGATGATCATTAGTGTTTTTTAGCATTAAAGTATTTCTAAATTAATGTATGTGCATTGTTTTTTTAAGACATAATGCCATCATACACTTAACAGACTACAGTATGGTATAAAACATAACTATTCTATGTACTGGGAAATCCAAAATTTGTGTCATTCACTTTAGGATCTTTATCGTGGTGGTCTGGAACCAAACTCACAATATCTCTGAAGTATGCCCGTACTTACTGAAAACAAGTTTTACAAAACAACACTAAAACGCTTACCATATGCAATGTGTTCCAATATACTCTAGTCTAGGCTAGTCTATTTCATTTTTTTAATGCTGGTCACAAGCCATTAAAATGATGCTACCAACCATGAATGGGTCATGACCACAAATTTAAAAACACAAATGTATTCTAATCTCTTAGGTCCACAGCTGAGAAAGCTAAGATTCAGAGAGGTTAAATCCGCGGTCAAAAGGCTACTTCCTGACAGAATCAGGACTACCTCAGACCCAGGTAAATGATGACTGTTGTTACCAGTCTAATAATTGGGACTCACTTCAACTAACACCTCCTCTATAAATCCTCATCAGAATTCACCTCTACCCATGACCCCTGCTACCAACATTATTCAGGTTGCTGTTGTTTATGTCTTAGGTTTTTTTAACACCCCGAGGCCTGCTGCCCTGATATCCCTGTGAACCTGGAGGCATGGTCTCAGGCTAAGTGGTCCCACAGCATTTTCCACATCACCAAACTGACCACTCTGTTCCTCTCCTCTACTGCTTCCTTGCCATGAACCACAGCATCCCCCAAGGTGGGCCAGGGAACTACCAGTCTTGAGAAAGTGATGAGCTTGCTAACTCAGCCAGAAGAAACCTGAAGGGCAAAGCTTAACACCACCTGGGTCCTGATATACACATTCCAAAATTTGGAAGACCTTGAAGAAGGAGGCCATTCAGCCCTATCCAGGCAGAATAAATCCTTCAGGGGTCTAGGGAAAGGACCGCATTTAAAAACCAAAGGGCAGCCTCTCTCACTTGGCCTCCATATTTCAGATTAAAAGATGATGTGTCCGGAGAGTCGGCTTTATGATCAAGTTTCGCCTTACTAGGTGGTACACCCTGGGAAAGGGACAGGAAGAAGCACAAAGTGTGGGGACAATGTAGCAAGCAGACCCCAAATGCCTCTTCCACCTTCCACCTTAGCAACCTGCACTCCCAGCCTTCCTAGAACTCTACCCCATGTCTTCACCTTGAGGTTTCAGCAGGCCCCAATCTCTGTGGCTGTCACAAAACCATGCAAATCAAACCCAACTCCAATCAGAAAAGCATCTATCCTCTGCTTCACCCTCAGAGGTCTCAGACATGCATTCTACGTCTTCAAGCTAGGTTTCCACACAGCAGCTTGAATATGACTATTGTAAAATCATATGTTCCACGTCAATCACTTTGGGGCATTCCCAATGCTTCAAAAAAGAGAATCACTCTCTACACCACAGCTTCAGACAGGGCTTGGTAAACCACAGTTCATGGGCCAAATTGGGCCAGGTACCTGTTTTTATAAATAAAGTTTTATTGGAACACTGCCATGCCCATTTGTTTACCTATTGTCTGTGCTGGTTTTGTGCTACATGATAGAGTTGAGTAGAGACCAAATGGCCTGCAAAGTCTAAAGTATTTACTATCTGCCCCTGTACAGAAAAAGTGTGCCAACTCTTCACTTACAGAATCCTGCCTTTTTTTTAATGGTGATAAAATACACATAACATAAAATTTACCATCTTAACTTCTTTGAAGTGTAGAGATCAGTGGTATTAATTACATTTGCATTGTTGTACAACCATCACCAGCATCCATCTCCAGAATGTTTGCATCATCCCAAACACAAAGTCTATGCCCAATAAATAATAACTCCCCATTCTCCCTCCCCTCAGCCCTGGCATCCACTGTTCTACTTTCTGCCTCTTTGAATCTGTCTACTCTAGGTATCTCATATTGGTGGAATTATGCAGTATTTGTCCTTATGTGTCTGGCACATTGTACTTAGCATGCTGTCTTCAAGGTTCAACCATGTTGTAGCATATATCAGAAGTTCCTCCCAGCTCGGGCGTGGTTGCTCACGTCTGTAATCCCAGCACTTTGGGAGGCCAAGTCGGGCAGATCATTTGAGGTCAGGAGTTCGAAACCAGCCTGGCCAACATGGTGAAACCCTGTCTCTACTAAAAATATAAAAAATTAGCCAGGCATGGTGGCGCAGGCTTATAGTCCCAGCTACTCGGGAGGCTGAGGCAGGAGAATCACTTGAACCTGGGAGGCAGAGGTTGCAGTGAGCTGACATCGCACCACTGCACTCCAGCCTGGGCAACAGAGTGAGACTCTGTCTCAAAAAAAAATAAGTTTCTTCCTTTTTAAGGCTAAATAATATTGCATTGTATGGATAGACCACATTGTGTTTACTCATTTGTCTACTGATGGACACACGTTGTTTCTACTTTTTGGCTACTGTGAATAGCACAGCAACCTGCCCAATCCTCAAGTGTCACCCTACATCACACACCTGCTCTCTCCCTCAAAGGGGTCCTCTGTCAATTTCCCCAATGTGTCCTGCTTCCTACCACCTTCAACTGAAATGAGCCGTGGATATAAAATAAACATTCAATATCAAAGACTGTATTTTAAAACATGCAAAATATCTCAGTAATGATATTTTACATTCATTCTATGTTAAAATATTATCATTTTGATATATTGGGTTGAATGACGTATTATGAAAATTAATATCACTTGTTCCTTTTCATTCTTTTTAATGTGACTACTAGAAAGTTGAAGGTTAATATATGCCTCATATCCTATTTCTAGGAGCGGCACTAGGCTAGACTCTGCAGGGGTTGGCAAACGTTTTCAGTAAAAAGCCAGATGGTAAATATTTTCAGCGTTGTGGGTCATTCTCACTCTGCCATTGTCACACAAAAGCAGCCATAGGCAATACATAAAGGAATGATCATGGGTATGTTCCAATACCTTTTATTTACAAAATCAGGCCAGGTATCAGATTTAGCCCCTAGGCTATAGGATATTAATCGTATTTTTTAAATGGCCAATTCTGAGAAAGTCTGTTCTATTCATTTTCTCAGAACCCTCTGTGAAAAGCCATTTTTCATTCAGCCAGAGTCTGGAACACAAGTCTGTTCCCGGCTTGCCTGACCTGGACAGCTCCTCAGACCACGGGGCAGCTCCTGAGACCACGGGACAGCCCTTCGCAGTCCGGGACTCAACAGCCCCAGGGCACCCACCGACCGCACTCACTTGGGTGTGTGGGCCTCGTCCACGCGGTGCCCCAGCTGGAACTCGTGGGATTTGCTCCGATGCAGCGCGGTGAACCCCGGGATCAAGTGTATCAGCTTTCGGGAGGAGGGTGGTGGGGTCCCCGGGGGCTTCAGCTTGTTCTTCTTCCTCATGGGCGGCGTGCCCGGCGGGGTCACGGTGGTGACGATGTTGGGGGTGCGCGGCGGGGTGCGGACCGCGTGCCGCTGCCGGGGCGATGGGGGCAGGGAACGGTGGCCCGACTCCAGGGGCAGGGGCGGACACAAGCCCGGGTAGGGGTCCACGGTAAGCCTGTCCACGTGAGTGTACACAGGGGCCCCGGGAGTGGGGCTGGTGTGACAATAGTGCTGGACGCACTTGGACTGGACCCTGGGGCTCTGGGAGAGATGGGTGCGGATCCACGGGGTGGGCTCCGGGGTGCACACGGGATTGTTCTCCTTCCCCGTCTCTGTCGTGGGCCACTGGATGGTCCAGTCTTGTTTGGAAAGGTTGCCTCCTAAGTTGGAACAGAAGAGCAGAGACAATGGGTAAGCCATGAGAAAGCCAGATGAGTTACACCACATACACCATTACATCATACACACATTACACCACGTGCCCATTACATCATATGCATGTTACACTATATACCTGTTACATCCTATGCATGTTATTTCATGTGCACATTACACCACGTGCCCATTACATCATATGCATGTTACACTATATACCTGTTACATCCTATGCATGTTATTTCATGTGCACATTACACCACGTGCGCATTACATCATATGCATGTTACACTATATACCTGTTACATCCTATGCATGTTATTTCATGTGCAAATTATACCATGTGCCCATTACATCATATGCATGTTACGCTATATACCTGTTACATCGTATGTATAACATATGCTCATTATATCATATGCACATTAAATCACATGCATGTTACACTATATATCTGTTACATTGTATGCATGTTATATGTACATTATATCATATGCATATTACAACATATGCATGTCACATTATATGTACATTACATCACATGCATGCTGTTTCATATGCCCATTACCTCTTATAGACATTCTATCAAATGCACGTTACATCATACTCACATTAGATCATAAGCACATTTACATAAATCCAACCACCCCTACTTGGCCCCTCCAAAAAGAGAATGAAATCCCTTTGTTGACCCTGTTACCCTATTCCCCATTCAACAGCCTTGTCTTCCACTGCCCCATAGTTGGAAAGACCCCACAGCCCAAATGCTCAGAAAAGCAAAGAAGTTAATTCTCGCCTTTTGAGCTTCCCAAGGTTCCAGTTCTGGCAGTTTCAAAGTGATTTAAAGGATTTTAAAGGATAACTTTTCCCTTACATGGACATTTTAATACCTAACCCTCACATGAGATACACAGATTCCAAGTAAGTCAAGTTCATCCTTCTCCCTGACCACTTCCTCGGCCACCACATACTTCTTCCAGATCTATGTCACCATGTTCTCATTCATGCATTTGTCCAGTAAACATCCTGTGAGTGCCAACTATGCCCTTTGCTTGGAAAAGACACAAAAGTAACACAGACGAGACCCTGGTCCCTGGACTTACATTCTGCCAAAGCAGAGTCATGATAGACAAGAAAACATGCTCATTGAAGGATTTCACCCTCCTCCCGAAAGCTGATACACTTGATCCCGGGGTTCACCGCGCTGCATCGGAGCAAATCCCACGAGTTCCAGCTGGGGCACCGCGTGGACGAGGCCCACACGCCCAAGTGAGTGCGGTCGGTGGGTGCCCTGGGGCTGTCAAGTCCCGGACTGCGAGGGGCTGCCCCGTGGTCTCAGGAGCTGCCCAGGTCAGGGAAGCCGGGAACAGACTTGTGTTCCAGACTTGTGTTATTGGTGCTGGGAGGGAAATAAACAGAATGATGTGATAAAAACAATATGGGTGGCTGGGCACGGAGGCTCACACGTAGTTGAGCCTCCAAATTGCTGTAGTTCCAGCAATTTGGGAGGCCGAGGTGGGTAGATCACTTGAGGTCAGGAGTTCAAGACCAGCCTGGCCAACATGGTGAAACCCCATCTCTACTAAAAATGCAAAAAATTAGCCAGGCATAGTGGCACACACCTGTAATCCCAGTTACTGGGGAGGCTGAGACAGGAGAATTGCTTCAACCCAGGAGGCAGAGATTACAGTGAGCCAAGATTGCATCACTGCACTCCAGCCCAGGCTACAGGCTCGCTCTAAAAAAAAAAAAAAGAATATGGGTAACAGAATGGTTAACCATAGAGTGCTACATACAAACCACATGCTACACAGCTCAGCTAGGAGAAGGCACCTAGTGCCAATGCACACAAAAGCCTGGGCGAATGTCCAGAGAATTAGGCTGAGTAAAAAATGCCAATCCCCAAAGGTTACATACTATGTGACTCCATTTATATAGTATTTTTGAAATGACAACATTTTTGAAACAGAGGATAGATTGATGGTTGCCAGGGGTTAGGGATGGCAGAAAAGCGGGTAGGAGAAAAATGGATGCGGGGATAGAAGAGCAATACAAGGGAACCTTGGAGTGCTGGAACTCTCCAGCATCTTGACTGTGGTAGATATAAAAACCTACACAGGTGATCAGAGTACATAAAAGTAGGCCCGTGGTGCACATAGACACCATGGAATACTATGCAGCCATAAAAAAGGATGAATTCAAGTCATTTGTAGGGACATGGATGAAGCTGGAAACTATCATTCTCAGCAAACTATCACAAGGACAGAAAACCAAACACCACATGTTCTCTCACTCATAGGTGGGAATTGAACAATGAGATCATTTGGACACAGGGTAGGGGACATCACACACAGGGTCCTGCAGGGGGAGTGGGGGACTACGGGAGGGATAGCATTAGGAGAAATACCTAATGTAAATGATGGGTTGATGGGTGCAGCAAACCAACATGGCACAAGTTTACCTATGTATCAAACCTGCACGTTATGCACATGTACCCTAGAACTTAAAAGTATAATTTAAAAAAAAAAAAAAAAAAACTAGGCCCATGGTGGTGGCTCTTGCCTGTAATCCCAGCACTTTGGGAGGCCAGAGCCTCCAAAAGGGAGGAGGATCACTTGAGCCCAGGAGTTCAAGACCAGCCTGGGTGACATAGTAAAACCTAGTCTGTACAGAAAGTAAAAAAAAAAAAAAAAAAAATAGACAGGCATGGTGGTGCACTCTGTGGTCTCAGCTACTTAGGAGGCTGAGGTCTCGGATTGCTTGAGCCTCAGGGGGTTGAGGCTGCAGTTAGCCATGTTCATGCCATTGCACTCCAGCCTGGATGACAGAGTGAGACCCTGCCTTAAAAAGAAAAATACATAAAACTAAATAAACACACAGGCACAGGCGCACACAAACACACGAGTGAAAATAAAGCTGGGGAAATCTGAACAAGATGGTGGATTGTATCCATATCAATATTCTGTGATATTGTATTGTATAGTACAGTAGTACTATAGTTTTGCAAAATGTAACATTGGAAAGAAAAGTATACAAGGAATGTCTGTATTATTTCTTACACCTGCATGTGAATCTACAATTATCTCAATCAAAAATTTCTGTTAAGAAATTAAAAATAAAATATAAGAATATGGGGGGCCTACTTTAGTAGGGTGATCAGGGAAGGCCTCCTAAGGAAGTGACATTCCTCCTGGCATGTGAAGGACAGGAAGCAGATGGTCACACCAAGCACTAAGGACAGAGCACACCAGACTGGGAAACAATAAGGGCTAATGCCCAGAAGTAGGAAGGGCTTTTTTTTTTTTTTTTAAAGTCTTCCAATAGCTTGTTAGAAAGAAAAGACAGTTTTTTAAATCCCCACTGTTATGAATTCGAATTGAGGTTTTCATCCCTAGTACAAACTGAATTAAAAAGGGAGAGAGAAATTTAAAAATCCAATAGTAGGCCGGGTGTGGTGGCTCACACCTGTAATCCCAGCACTTTGGGAGGTCAAGGCAGGTGGATCACCTGAGGTCAGGAGTTTGAGACCAGCCTGGCCAACATGACGAAACTCCATCTCTACTAAAAATACAAAAAAATGAGCTGGGCGTGGTGGTGTGCACCTGTAATCCCAGCTACTCGGGAGGCTGAGGTAATAAGAATCCCTTGAACTCAGGAGGCAGAGGTTGCAGTGAGCCGAGATTGCACCATTGCACTCCAACCTGGGCAACAAGAGTGAAACTCTGTCTCAAAAAAAAAACAAATCTAATGGTGTATTAACGTTTTTCATTCGTTTGCCATACTGACCAGTGCAAATATAAATTTGGTCTAAAGACACAGATTCTCATGCAACCATGTAAAGCCTTACTGCATCCTCCATACTAAGAGCTCTAAATGCGTGAACATCCAATAATACCAAATGTACAGGCTTCAAAACCAGCTAAGTTAGGGCAGTCACTTTCCTAGGTCTCTTTCCTGGGTGCCTGCATGAAGGTGGTGTTCACAACCGTGTGATGACAATGGGGTGACCCTCAAGGAGAGGTTGAAGGGACAGGTGAGAACAGACTGCCAGGTCTGCGGGCTAAGGTGCAGACTGGCTTCTATACCAAGTCCAACAGGAAGCCATTGGGAGTTTTGAGGCAGGGGAGGCACGGATTGAATGTTCATTTCTCAAAGATCACTCAGGCTGCTGCAGGGAAAAGTAGAGCCTAATTAAGGGGTATCTCAGGGAGTTGCAAGAGATGATGCCAGCTCTGGCTTGGGTGGTGGCAACAAAGATGGAGAGAAGTTGGCCAGGTGTCAATGAAGGAAGACCCACCAGAACCCAGGGGAAGGTAACCACGTGGGCACTTCCACGATGGGCCGAGGAAGGAGATTTGGGGTGGAAAGAAATTCCTAGCTGACTAGCAATAACAATAATAATTACTATAACGACCATAACAAGAGCTAATTTATAGCGCATTTGATGGCTTCCAAAGTGCTTTCATGAACACTGACTCACTGTTCCATTTTTAATTAAAACAACTCATTTTGTTATTATATATTCAGTACAGAAAAATTAGAAAATTGAGATAAGAGAAAAAGGCAATGCTGTTCTACAGCCTAGCCATCATCCCTATCAATATCTGACGGTAGAACCTTCCAGATGGTTTGGGGTGGGTTTTTTTTTTTTTTTTAGGAAAAAAAATATTCCATAAGACCATATTTAATGGTTCATTGTCTGTTTTCTTCACTTGTTATATTGGGACTGTTTTACATCTAACTTAATTTTTGTAACTCTGTGTGCAAAGGGTCATTCTGATTTCCATTTTGTAGGTAAGGAAACTGATGCAAAGAGATGAAGATGTGCCTAAGGTCACAAGAGAGATGGCAACTGGCAGCCAGACTCAAACCCAAAACTTTGGCCACCTCAACAAGCAGGGCATGAGACTGTCTGTGGAAGAGAACTGGGGCCTCCATTTGCCATCAGAGATCATTCAAACGGGAAAAGATACTGAAACAAAGGCCCATTTCTCAAAAGGGTCTC